TTAAAAAAAGTTTCTTTAATTCATTGTATCCATTTTGGTTGGTCAGGAAGTTCATGATCAATGGGAACCTGTTTCAGGCTTCAGATCTGACCTGATCCTGGGGATGGAACAGAGCTGATTATAAAATGTTTGTGGTGTTCTATGTTGACATACCATTCTGCAGATCGAAAGCCCTGTCTAAACCCTTTCTGAGCCCCTTCTGACCATAAGATTCTTGAAGGCAGAGAAATGTCCTATTCAGTTGTTGAACCTGTAGGAGTTCTGCCACAGGACACAAAGAGGTCCTAAATGTGTATTTGCTCGATTAAATCATTCATGAACCCTTAGCCTTGTCCGGTTCAACTGTCAGACCTGTGTGTTCATGCATTTGTATGATAATATCTGCATCTGGATCGTAATTCTTTGCAGCATGTAATTTACAATGAGGTTTTAAAGAAACTTTTAAGTAGTAATAATAGCTAACATTTAAGGAACATTTGCCAGGAGCTTTCCATGAGACCGCTGTATTGCTGGACCCGTTTAATCCTAATAACAATGCTATGAGCCGGTGCCATTAATATCCTCAAGGAAACTAAGGGTTAGAGAGGTTACCCACCTTGGCTGGGGTCACATGGACAGCAAATGGAAGATCTGAGATTTGAATCAGGATTTTGATTTCAGAGTCTCTGGTATTAACCACTGCGCTATACTGAGCTGGCTGTTTAGTTCAATGGAAAATAGGGCATAGAGATCAACGAGAACCAGAACGGATGTGGTTTCATGCGTGTGCCCTCCCACTACCAGACTCAGACGTTGGTCTGAAAACGCCTTCCTCTCATCGTTCATAGGCTCTGCTTCAGTCCCCGTTCTGACAGCGTAGATCCGTCTCCGACATTGACCTTTTTCTTTTCCAGAAGTCACCTTGCCTGGGTTCAGGAAGAGTGGAATTCCAGGAAAAACTGGTGGCCAGGCTTTCACTTCAGCTCCTTTTGGGCAAAAAGTGATTGGAAGGAGGACAAAGCTTTGGCTTATGAGAAAGCTTTCGTTGCTGGAATATTGTTAGGAAAAGGTACGTGTTTTCTTTTTATCTAAAAGTCTCTTTTAGACGATTTTGAAATACGAAGTATGACCATTCTTTCATCTGATAGCTCACCTCCTGCGGTACCTTAGGTTGTTTTTATGTCTTGGCTGTTGTGAATGATGCTACAGTGAAATAGGGATACGTATATCTTTATGATTGTGTCTTAAAAAATATTTGGGGTAGATACCCAGAAGAGGAATTGCTGGGTCATATGGTACCTCTATTTTTTTTTTTAAATATATTTTATTGATTTTTTACAGAGAGGAAGGGAGAGAGATAGAGAGTTAGAAACATCGATGAGAGAGAAACATCGATCAGCTGCCTCCTGCACACCCCGCACTGGGGATGTGCCCGCAACCAAGGTACACGCCCTTGACCGGAATCGAACCTCGGACCCTTCCGTCCGCAGGCCAATGCTCTATCCACTGGGCCAAACCGGTCAGGATGATGGTAGCTCTATTCTTAATGGTTTGAGGAGCCTCCATTCTGTTTTCCATGGAGGCTGCATGAATTTCCAATCCTACTAGCAGGGTTCCCCTTTCTCTGCATCCTCTCCAACACTTGTTACTTCTTATCTCATTGAGAGTAGCCATTCTACCGGGTGTGAGGTAGTATCTTATTGTGGTTTTGATTTGCATTTCCCTTATAGCTAGTGAGGTTGCGCATCTTCTCATATATCTATTGGCCATCCATATGTCTTCTTGGGTAAAGTGTCTGTTCGGGTCCTCTAAAGACTCCACCAAAAGACTATTAACAACAATAGATAAATATAGTAAAGGGTGCAGAATACAAAGTCAGTGTACGGAAATCTGTTGTGTTCCTGTATACTAAAAATGAAACATCAGAAAAAGAAATGAAGAAAACACACAATCCCATTTGCAGTTGCAACGGAAAGGATAAAATACCTAGGAATAAACTTAAAGGAAGTGAAGGTCCTATACACGGAAAACTATAAGAGATTGTTGAGAGAAATTGAAGACACAGAAATGGAAAGATACGCTGTGTTCATGGATGAGAAGAATTAGCATAGCTAAAATGGCCATGGTGCCTAAAGCAAGATACAGATGGAATAGAATCCCCATCAGAACTCCAGTGGCATTTTTCTAAGAAGTAGAACAAAAATTCAAATTTGTATGGAACCACAGAAGACCCCAAATAGCGACAGCAATACTGAGAAAAAAGAGCAAAGCCAGAGGTATCACACTCCCTGACTTCAAATTACCCTACAAAGGTATAATAATCAAAACAGTAAGGTATTGGCAGAAAAATAGACACACAGACCAATGGAACAGAATTGAGAGCCCCAAAATTCACACATATATGGGCAACTCGTTTTTGACAAAAAAGCCAAAAACATACAATGGAGAAAGGAAAGCCTCTTCAATGAATGGTATTGGGAAAATTGGCAAGCCAAATGTTAAAAGAATGAAGCTAAACTGCTGTCTGACATCATACACAAAAGCTAACTCAAAATGGATTAAAGACTTGAATATAAAACCTGAAACAACAAGATACATAGAGGAAAAGAGGTACTAAACTAGGGACCTTGGTCTCAGAGGGGATTTTGTGAACTTGACCCCAAAAGCAAAAATAAATGAATGGGACGTCATCAAACTAAAAAACTCGGTGCAGCAAAAGAAATCAACAAAATAAAAAGGCAGCCAACTAAGTGGGAGAAGATATTTGCAAACAATCCTGATAGAGGCTAATACCCAAAATATATAAAGAATGTATATAACTCAACAACAACAAAAATAAACAATCCAATATTTAAATGGGCAAGAGGGCCTGGCAGAACTTCAAATGGGCACCAGGCACCTTTGGCAGAGTTATAGGACCACCATCCAGCTACTTGCTAGGTGGTTAGAATGACTAGATAATTCCTGATCTAACCTATGGTTTATTTATTCTAATGCTTTACATCAAGGTTTTCTATAGATAACTTCCTTATTATTATAGATGCCTCTTTCACTGCTTTTACAAGCTAACTTTGTGAAGGATTCTAGCCCTAACCGGTTGGTTCAGTGGATAGAGCATCGGCCGGGGGACTGGAGGGTCCCAGGTTCGATTCTAGTCAAGGGCACATATCTGGGTTGCGTGCTTGGTCCCCAGTAAGGGGTGTGCAGGAGGCAACAGATCAATGATTCTCATCATTGATGTTTTTCTCTCTCTCTCCCTCTCCCTTCCTCTCTGAAATCAATAAAAAAATATATTTAAAAGACAACAACAAAAAAGAGAAGGAATCTAGAATAATTTGCTTTTGGAGAAGGCTCATTTAATATATGAATGCATATAATATGCATATCACCTAAGTAAGGGTGTGGGAGGCAGCTTAGAAAACCAGCTAAAGTTGATGCTTTAATGTTGATGAACCAGAAACATCTTCGTGTGTAGCAAGCAGTACATTTCATTGGCGATGCTCTGAGAGTCTCTCTCCCTCTCCCTGTATAGACCAGTGATGGTGAACCTATGACACGCGTGTCAGAGGTGACACGCGAACTCATTTTTTTGGTTGATTTTTCTTTGTTAAATGGCATTTACATATATAAAATAAATATCAAAAATATAAATCTTTGTTTTACTATGGTTGCAAATATCAAAACATTTCTATATGTGACACGGCACCAGAGTTAAGTTAGGGTTTTTCAAAATGCTGACACGCTGAGCTCAAAAGGTTCGCCATCACTGGTATAGACAGTAAAACTCACTCTGTTTCCATAATCATTAATATGCCAAAAGGTTCGCCATCACTGGTATAGACAGTAAAACTCTGTTTCCATAATCATTAATATGTCAGGAATGAAGCAAAGCTAAAAATGTAGAAGTATATTTGAAGGATTTGATAAGTATTAAAACTATTTTTCTTTATTTTGCTTTGTTTTATTTATTTTTTAGGTTGTAGATATTTTCGGTATATTTCAAAACAAGATCATCAAGACTTAAGGAAGAAATTTAAGCGGATGAAGAAGTTAGTGAAAAAACACAGTATTGTAAATCCAGGACCCTGATACTGAATTTTAGTTATTTCAGATTAGTAGCTACAGGGTAGTAGCTTAATGGATAATTATTGAATGTACTTATTTATTTGGTGTTTTAAGAAGGTAGTTTTATATGGCTACAAAAAAGTTATTTTTATATATATCTTTATATTTTCTCTTACTAGTAGTTATAGCTGGAGAAACAGTCTCACTACCTTTGTTCTTGGTAAATAAATATATTTCCTTTTTGTACTGTTAAATATAATATTTATTAAGGAATAAACTTCAAATAAAATATATATTTATTTAATCAGAGAATATACCTCTACAGCAGTTATTGTTATTTGCAGATAATTTGCCTGACTTTGTGCAATAAGACATAACTGTGGGACTGTTAAATGAATTTATATTCTTATTTCAGATTCTCTGTGATCCATGTTGGATTTACTATCATGACAAATATTTTGGTGATGAAACGTTGGAAACCAAGAAAGATCTGGAAAAGGACTCTCCTCTTTCTCCTTTGGTGTTAAGACAGGACAGTTTGGGGCTGAGTGACCTGATTCTAGGAGAGGAATCTGGGTCAGAGAAGGTGGAAGGGCTGGCTGGTTTCAGCTGGCGCTGGGTTAGCTTCAGAAGGCTCTAGGCTTGTTTGCATTTATTTCCTTATCGGCACAGCGATCTTTAGCCATGCTTTGGAGCTCCCGAGTCCTCCTCTTTCTCTGGGAAACAAGGTACAGCAGTAGGCAGCTGGACAGGGGAGGAGACAGCTAGTGAAATAGCGTCCCAGGGTCACACAGTAGGCCCGATGGGAAATGAAATAGTGTCCCAGTCACACAGTAGGACTGATGGGAAATGAAATAGTGTCCCAGGGTCACACAGTAGGACTGAGGGGAAGTGAAATAGTGTCCCAGGGTCACACAGTAGGACTGATGGGAAATGAAATAGTGTCCCAGGGTCACACAGTAGGCCCAGTGGGGAAGCTTGGGTTATGAGGTGAACTTTATAACCTCTTGGGAAAACTGGTAGAGTGAGTGTTTCTTCAAAACTGTCTTGGCTCTCACACATTTACTGTTCACATAACTAGTATTTGAGTTACGTGAAGGCTCACTGACTTCAGAGAAAACCCAATATTTAGATGGCAAACGATGTATTTTTCCCCATTGGCTTATATTCCCACTAATTTTAAACTGTGCCAGAAAATTGGGGGACATACTATGCTTTGTCAGTCATTTCCTTCAATATTTTATATTTAGTAAGACATGACTATCAACAAACAAGAACCCAACCTTCTGATAAACATCTGAGACAAGAAGGTGCCTCACAGAACCAGCATAACCAAGTTACAGCTACCACCGCAAGGGGCCAGCCTTGTGTCAAATCCGCACACCTAACTGCACAGTAAGGGCAGTGAGAATCCACAACTGACATTGCTTTAGGTCCGTGAAAGCTGAAGCCAGTTTTGTGACCGATAATTGACAACACTTACCAAGCACCTTGGGCTTTACATTTCGTCATGCCGTCACCACAAATCCTCTGAATCATCCCTCGCTTACGGAAGGAAGTCCGGTCTTCAGAGAGTAAGTAACTTGCCCAAGGTCACAACTGCTAGTTTTTAGCGGAGTTCCAAAGACCACACTCCATTCGTACTGTCTGTACCGACTCCCATGTTAGTCAGGACTTGCTTATTACATGCAGAACACCGAGCTGGGTAGCAGCCCTTCATTTTTAAGATGCTTTCCTGGCTGTCGTGGGCGCTAGTCTGTGAACCTGCTTGGAATGGCACCGCACGTCTCTATTGTGTTTTGTAAATGCTACGACCTAAGGCAGTGGTCGGCAAACTCATTAGTCAACAGAGCCAAATATCAACAGTACAACGATTGAAATTTCTTTTGAGAGCCAAATTTTTTAAACCTAAACTATATAGGTAGGTACCTTGTTATTAACTTAATTAGGGTACTCCTAAGGCCTAGGAAGAGCCACACTCAAGGGGCCAAAGAGCCGCAGTTTGCTGACTACGGACCTCTGGCCGACCACGGACCTAAGGTAATAACTCAGCATTTGCTCAAAAGGACACATACCTCTTGATCGCCCCAATGTGTGGCATTCGCCTGAGAACCATATTTCACTCTCACGCCACATATACCCCAGGGCTAGGAGGAGGAGGAGGCCTGTGCTGACTGTTCCAAGAAAAGCTCCCCCCTAACATGTTCACCCCCTTTGCAGGTTCCGAGGACGTAGTCCTGGTCCCAGGGTGATTCAGGGTCTGAAATGGCTTTGCAGACAGACATTCCGGACCAGCGAAGTGCTGCCCGTTCTGTGAGAACTGAGAGTGTTTTTCCTGCCTGGGTGGGACCCATTTCCTCCCGGCCCTCGGGACACTTCACCTCCCTGCACACACCCTGACCACAGGAAGGCAAAATAACCAACCAGCGTGTGTGCTTCTGCAGAGCTGAAGTCCAGCGAGCCAAGATGAACCCGTGAACTGCCACGCGTCCATCCCCACCCGGAAACCATCCCCACACGCCCCACAATATTTTGAATATAATTTTAAAAAACCTGCCGCTTGTGTCTACAGATGCTTATGGCGTACAGAGGTCCATGCATCACTCCCAAAGTCAGTCAATTTAAAGAATATGTTCTCTTGCCCTAACTGGTTTGGCTCAGTGGATAGAGCGTCGGCCTGCGGACTGAAGGGTCCCGGGTTCGATTCCCGTCAAGGGCATGTACCTTGGTTGCGGGCACATGCCCAGTAGTGGGGTGTGCAGGAGGCAGCTGATCCGATGTTTCTAACTCTCTGTCCCTCTCCCTTTCTCTCTGTAAAAAATCAATAAAATGTGTTTTAAAATAGAGAATATGTTCTCTTGCCCTTTGTGGAGTTTACAATTATGTTGGGGAGGTATTTGGTTTCATTTCAGCCAGTGCCTCGCTCCCTGCGTACCAGGCACAGTGCGGGCCTTGGGAGACCCAGAGGCCTCTGCCTCCCCCAGAATTTCCTGGTTAAAAATGAACTTGAACTCAAGGCCACCAGGCTCTCACTCCCTACACCTGCAGCAGTAGGAGAGCTGCAAACATGGGCCACATTTGTACTTCCTTTAAAATGTTCTGTTAGCCACATTTTAAAAAATAACTAGGTACAATGAAAGTAACTCTATATTTTATGTAATCCACTCTATCTGCAATATTAGCACTTCAGCACATAATCAGCGAAAACGTTACTCGTGGGATAGTTTACATTTTTTTTTTTTTTTTGGAACTAAGTTTTCTGAGTCTGGGCTGTGTTTTATGCTCTGCACATCTCCATCCGGATTGGCCACGATCCAGGCCTCAAGGTCACACGTGGCTAGACAGCCCTTCATCCCGCTCCAGCCCGGGATGCGGGGGGAGGAGGTCGTGGGTGGGCACACTCCTGCGTTCAGAAAAGGCTCCTGGCTCTGCAGTCACGCGCACTCTGGAATTCAGGGGGAACCGGGGACATGAGGGTGGCTGCAGGCACTGGCTTCCCGAGCGGCGTGGGCTGCTTGTTTTGGGGAAATCTCTCCCCCTCCCTCTGGATCGGGGCCGGACCCGGGATCCGGGCTGGGCTGCGAGGCCGGGGTGCC